CTCTCAAATAAATAAATAAAATCTTAAAAAAAAAAAAAAAAAAGAACGGGGCACCTGGGTGGCCCAGTGGGTTAAGCCTCTGCCTTTGGCTCAGTCCTGGGATCGAGCCCCGCATCAGGCTCTCTGCTCATCAGGGAGCCTGCTTCTCCCCCCTCTCTGTCAGCCTCTCTGCTTACTTGTGATCTCTGTCTGTCAAATAAATAAATAAAATCTTAAAAAAAAAAAAGAGAGAATACAAAGCATAAAAGTAAAAATAGATGAACTGGGCTTATCAAAAATAAAACATTTGTTCTTCCAAAGACTGCCTTTAGAAAACAAAGAGGCGAGTGCTCACTTCAGCAGCACATATACTAAAATTGGAACGATACAGAGAAGATTAGCATGGCCCCTGCGCAAGGATGACACGCAAATTCGTGAAGCGTTCCATATTAAAAAAAAAAAAAAAGGAAAAGAGGTGAGCACATAACGGAAGAAAATATTAATAACTCATAACTCCTGTATCAGACAAATTCACATCCAGAACATACAAACAATCCTATGACCTCACAATTCTACTCTCGATATACACCTACTTATGTATAAGATATGTATAAGATAAGTAGAAATGCCCACACAAAGTCTTTATGTGAATGTTCCTACCAGTTTTATTCATAGTAGCCAAAAATTTTGGGGGGAAAAAAATCCCATATTCATCAGCAAGTAATGGCTAGCCAAATTGTGTTGTATTCATATAATGGAATAGCACTAACCTATGAACAAGGAATTAGCCACGGATACATATATCACACATGTATGCCCAAAACACACTGAGCCAAAGAAAGCAGACACAAAAGATCATATACTGTGTATGCTGATTTGCATGCAGTCCTAGGCAGGCAAGTCATCCGTAGGGGCAAGAAATCAGATCAGATAGTGCCTGGGGCAGTGGCAGAAGTGTTGTATTTTGTGTTGGAGTGGGTGTGGGGATGATGACCACACTGGGATGGGACCCTTTTTAGGGTGATGGAGATGTTCTGTGTTTCCACTGGGATGGTAGGTAAACATTTGTCAAAACTGACTGAAGTGTACATTTAAAAATGGGTAGCCTCTGTTACAAATTACACATCAGGAGTTGATTTTTTTTTTAAACCTGGAAAGGAAAATCTTAACAAATCAAGGAGGAAAGCATCCTGCCACACTTTGAAAGTTATATACCAAATCCCTCAAGCAAGCATTATATCTAATGGAAAAACCATGTGTGGTTCTTTGAGTGTCAGGAGCATGAAAGGAATATTTACAAGCACCCTGACAGTGTAATGTAGTTCTACTGTCCGGGAAGGAAAAAAGTATTAAGATCAGAGGGAAGAGATAAAATGGATTCTTTGTAGATCACATTATTTACTCAAAAATCCATCAGGATCAACAGATGGGCTTTTAGGGGCGCCTGGGTGGCTCAGTGGGTTAAAGCCTCTGCCTTCGGCTCGGGTCATGATCCTGGGGTCCTGGAATCGAGCCTCACGTCGGGCTCTCTGCTCCGCGGGGAGCCTGCTTCCTCCTCTCTCTCTCTCTGCTGCCTCTCTGCCTACTTGTGATCTCTGTCTGTCAAATAAATAAAATCTTTTAAAAAAAAAAGTCTTTAAAAAAAAACCAAACAGATGGTCTTTTAGAACTATTGAGAGTTAAGCAATGTTGCTAGTTAGAGCACCTACAACATTTCTCTGTACAAGCCATGTCCAACTAGAAATAAAAGTGAAGAAGAAAAAAAGACATTCACAAAGCCAGACCAAAACTCCAAAATATCTATAGATGAAATTAAGTAAGAGGACATAAAACCCCCGGGACTTGAGTGAGAAAGTCACAGCTTAAAATCGTTCAAGGACATTTTTTGGGATATTTTTATGACCTCTGACTAGGGAATGATTTTGGAATTAGACACAACATGAGCAAACCATGAAAGTGAAAAGGATACATTTAACTGCCTTATAATTAAGAAGTTCTATTCAGAATTTTCCTAAGGGAGTGAAACAAACTGGAAGATCTTTGTAATGAGGAGAACCAGCAAAGCTGTCTTAGCTGCGATCTTGTGAGTCAAACCACACTTGCGAATCTGTGAGAAGAAGGCAGGAGTTTCTCTAAAAAATTAAAAGTAGAACCGCTGTATGACCCAGCTGTTGCAGTTCTGCGAATATATCTGAGGGAACAAACGCTGTCAAAGAGAAGTCTTCACCCCTTGTATTCACTGCAGCCTGATTCACAATGACCAACACCGGGAAACAACCCAAGTGTGTGCCCACAGATACATGGATGCAGAAGATCTATGAATATAAATATTTACATACATATATCAGTGGAATGGAGTATTCCTCCAGGAGAAAGAAGGAAATCCCACCATTTGCAACAACACAGTCGGATCTTGAGGGCATTATGATAAATGAAATCATCAGAGAAGACAAATACTGTACGGTACCACTTACACTTCAGCTAGAAAAGCTGAACTTGTAGAAACAGGATGGTGGTTCCCAGGCACAGAGCGGGTTGGGTGGGTTGGGGAGATGCTGTTATAGGGTACAGACTGGCAACTAGTAGATACATAAGTCCTGGAGATCGAATGCCCAGTATAGTGATTATAGTCAACAATACTCTAGTATAAAATTCAAAATTGCTAAGTGACTAGATCTGAAATGTTCTCACCACAAAAAAGGAAAGGGCAATTATGTGCAGTGATAGAGGTGTTAGCTCAGAGCTGGTGGTAATCATATCAAATACATAAACATATCAAATCAATGCATTATACACCTTAAATTTACACAATGTTATGTCCATTATTTTACTCCACAAAAACAAAGAAATTCAAAGCCTCACTGCATACCAGGCACTTTTCTAAGAGCTTTTGAATATTAACTGACTCAGTTCTCAATGTTCCCTATGTGGTTGGTACAGATGTGTAAACTGAGGCACCAGGAGATTAAGTGATGGGTTTGAGGCTGAGCTATGGTCCATCTCTCGAGAACTGGTGGCCAACACATACTTAATAGTGCAGTTTACTGAACTGGGCACCAGAGTTAGAGTCCTAGCCTTGCTGCTTACCTGCTGCACGGCTTTGCGGCCATACAACGTTCTCTGTAAAACTGAGATTCTGGCTGTAACCGCTTTATTATTTTTAAAAAATATTTTATTTGCGGATGCCTTGGTGGCTCAGTCAGTGATCCCAGGGCCCTGGGATCAAGTCCCACATCAGGTTCCTTGTTCAGCGGGGAGCCTGCCTTTCCCTCTGCCTGAGGCTCCCCCTGCTTGTGTTCTCTCTCTCTGACAAATAAATAAAATCTTTTAAGAAAAAGATTTTTTAAATCTTTTTTTAAAAAAAAGATTTTATTCAATTATTTGACAGAGAGAGAGATCACAAGTAAGCAGAGAGGCAGGCAGAGAGAGGGGGAAGCAGGCTCCCTGCTGAGCAGAGAGCCCGATGCAGGGCTCGATCCCAGGACCCCGGGGATCATGACCTGAGCTGAAGGCAGATGCGTAACGACTGAGCCACCCAGGTGCCCCAATAAATAAAATCTTTTTAAAAAAGAAAATATTTGTAAGTAATTTCTACACCCAGCGTGGGGCTGGAACTCGCGACCCTGAGAACAGGAGTCACATGCTCCGCCCTGGACCGAGCCAGATGGGCGCCCCTTGTTGTAATCACTTTAGAAGATTTTAATGCTTGGTTGTGCCTGAAAGTGGTTTAGCACAAGCCAGGGAGTCAAGTCAATGCTTGATGACATGATGAGATTTCCAGATTTCCAGATTTCCAGAAATCCTAACCAGATATCTTGGCTAAGCCTCTGTTCTAGGAGTTAATCATTCCAGTAGGGGATCAGAAGCCCCATTTCCAAAGTTGTGTCGGAAATGTGACATAGCTAATAAGGGGAAGATCTGGAATTCAAAGAGAATTGGGTTTGCCTCTACTGGGTTTCCCCGTGGAGGACAGCCTTGTCTCCACTACCTGCGTCAGCAGCTCTCCTTGCCTTCACATAATACCCTTCAGCTCTCATCCCTCGGCTTACCTTTAGGAAGGTCCCCTGTGCCGGACATCCCCAGATCTAGCTGTGTCCCCATGCTCTAGTCTTGTGTCAAGAGCTAGCACGGTTGGTATCATGACTTAAATACATCCCTCGGCAGCCACACCCCAGTCCCACCCCTCCACTTCCCCCCACCTCCAGTCTGTTAATCCGATCCCTGGGTTCTCAGCCCCCTGGTTGTCTGCTCGTTGTCTGATGTGAAGTCCACACCCAGCAGAGTTAGCGCCACCGAGGAGCTTGCTCAATGGAGACTCTTTAGGTATTGGTCAAAGGGTGGGAACTTCCAGTTATAAGACGAACAAACTCTGGTAATCCAATGTACAGCGTGGTGACTGGAACTAACTAATAATGCTGTATTATAGACTTGATGGTTGCTGAGCGAGTAGGTCTTAAATGTTCCCACCACAAAAAAAGAAAAGGTAAGTATGTGACGGGATGGAGGGCTTAGCTACTATAATGGCTACGCAGTCTTGTTGGAACCTGCTGCAACTTGTACACGTGTTGGACTGCATCTCAAGGAAACTGGAAACAACCACAGATTCTCAGGAGCTGCTGAGTCCCAGCCTGCCTTTCCCAAGAGCCCAGGCGATTTGACTAGAGACTGAGGAGCATTGCTGTGCCTCAGACCAACAGCTCTGAGCGGAAGGAAAACTCAGGATCCCCTGGAGAGCTCGCTGAAACACCGGCTGCTGGAGCCTGAGGGTCATGCTACCACCTGGGGAGCTCCCAGGTGCTGGGGCTCGGTGCTGGGAGCCCCAGCTCGCTCTGGTAGCATGTGGAGTGGCTAGAATATGCCTGACACTGTTCCAAGCACCTACAGGTACTAATTTATTTAATCCACTTAATCTTATTTTACAGATGAGGAAACCGGTAAAAAAGGAAATTTAATGGACTTGGCCGATGTCCCAGAACCAGTAAGTGGCAGGGGTGACATTTTCACCAGGGCTGTCTTGCTCTGGTTATTCTGCTGTAATGCGTCTCAGAGATGGCCACTGGTACCACACAAGATCTGGTGGCCTGCCGAATGGGAGGAGCGAAGGGCCTAAACTTTAAAAATAAAATGGTTTCAGAAATTCCACCTGAGTCTGGAGAAAGCAGACCTCAAAGATACACCTGCCACTTCAGGGAGAAACAGGAACACTGTTGAAACTGAGTTAGTGGTGTTTTTCACCCAGGGCTGTATGTTATCTTCTGCGGAATTTCTAAAGATGCCTGGGGCTCTACCCCAGGGTCAGTCAACCCAAATCTTTGCAGGTGGGGCTTGAGCATAAAGATTTGCATGTCATCCTCGAGGATTCCAGAGCCTAGGTGGTACTGGAAATTGCTTAATCTTTAGAAGGATTAAGCTGGTGTCTCCAGGAATTCACCTTGGAGTCTGGGGAATCAAGGTGTGCCACGGACTCCTTGGGATGTCCTGTGACAGCAGCACCCTTTAGCTAACACTCATTTTTGTTTTTTAACTTTTAAAATTTATTAAATTAATTTATTTGAAGATTTTATTTATTTGTCAGAGAGACAAGAGAGCACATAAGCAGGGGGAGCGGCAGGCAGAGGGAGAAGCACGCTCCCCACTGAGCAAGGAGCTTTATGTGGGACTCGATCCCGAGACCCTGGGATCATGACCCGAGCCAAAGGCAGATGCTTAGCTGACTGAGCCACCCAGGTGTCCCCCTAGCTAACACTCATTGCCTACCTGGAGGACCAGGCCCAGCACTGGAGGCTGGCCACTACTCCCCCAATCAATGGGATTAAGCTCTTATCAGTGCCTGGCTTGTCTCTAATCTTATAATGACTGTCAGATCTTTTATAATCTGAGGCAATCCCCGCCCATCTTTCCCTGTAAACCATTTCCCCAAGCCCGCTGGAATCAGTGGTTCGACTCCAGCTACCCCCACTGGCATTTTCAATCTTCTTCCCTCACTAAGCTTTCACACTCTTGCTCTAAAATCCCCAAAGATTTGGTTTTCCCTCCAAAGGGAGTGGAGGGTTGTTATCCATCCACATCCCATTGGGGGGTGCGATATGTACTCACTGCTCTTCCGTGCTGAAATCTATTGCTCACCCTGCATCCTTAAACAAAGCCCACGAATTTAAAACACGCCATTAGACTACGGACGGCGTTTGCTGCCCAGTCCGATGGCTCTTGACAAGGGTAAATCGTGTCCTTGGGTAGACCTTTGGCGATGTCTGGAGACCTGTTTTGGTTGTGACACCCAAGGAGGGGAGGATTTGACTGCCATCTAGTGGGTCAGAAGCCAAAGATGATGCTAACCGTCCCATAGTTCACACGACAGCCCCCCACAGGGAAGAATCATCAGTACCTGAGTGCCAGTGTAAGGACCTATTTAGCCAGAGCGACTCCATCTTGGGTAAATAGCCATCTTGTTGTTTGTGCAGTAAACTTAAATTGACCCTGCCCCCCAGAGAAACTCACTTAGAAACAAGTCCAGGAAACCAGTAAAATGTAGTTGGCTAGTTCCTGATAACAGAGCCCAGAATACAAGGACGAGTCAGGCCAGATGGAAACATCTAATCAGTACAACGTACTGTTTGTAACAGTGAGAAGGTCTTGCCCAAACCTAAATGACTCCATCTTGGGAAGGACGACCATCTTATTATTCACACTGAATACGTTAACTGACTAAGCCTTCCCAGAAAGTACTGTTTGTAACAGCTCCTGGTATGGGGTAATCTTGAATAACACGTCACCAGACCGAATGGAACTAGCCAATCAGCAAGAGGCACACAAACCCGGTGGGTTGAGATACCAAGATATGGGTTGCAGTTTCGCCCAATAAAAGGTAGCCTGTAAAATGGGGGGGGGGTGTCGCTCTCTTCGGAGGCGGCCCTGACTGGTCAGTCTGACTTCTAATGCTTAGCATAGAATAGAGCTTTGCATAACTCACCTTGTCTCAGTCTCGTTCCCCTGGCCGATCAGTCTAACTTCTAATACTTATCATAAAATAAAGCTTTAAATAACTTTCACTTTGTCTCAGTCTCATTTTGTTTAATAACGGACCTAACAGTCCGTAGTAATGAGGTTGAGAAACTTGGCCTTCGTTTGTCCCATCCACTGGACTTCCTTAGTGAGGTTCGCTAGCCTCATCGTGATGACCTCTTTCTGTAGACAGAAGACTAGAATGGTCTACCAGATAGTCACACGGCATCTCTCAACTTCATCCAGATCTTCCACCTACTCAAAATAAAAACAAGCACAACAGATCCCCCTCCATCTCAAGACCAAAACAGGTAAATGCTCAGGGAAGCATCCTATCTTAACAGTATCCATCAGTCTTCATCCCTTTGCACTGCCTTATTTTTCTCTAGCACACTTATCATTTCCTGGTATTGCATTTTATATCTCTTTGTTGCCTGTCTTGTTTACTGGAATGTAGTATGTATGGAACCAGGGTCTCTTTGTTCCCCACTGAATTCACCCATTTCTTCAACAGGCGTTAATGGGCTGATGATATCAGTCACTGCCGTAGACTCCAGAGGTCCAGGACACTCAGACAAACCCACGTGAGTTTATGGTTTAAGGAGGTGGTGTCACCTTTTAAAGCAGAATGCAGCTAAAGGATGGGAATGTTCTGAGCTGATTCAGGCAGTTAACTTGCCCATGTCCTTTTCGGTAATTAATGAGCCCCGGTTGCAAGTGTCTGGGGAGACAGAAAGGATCGGAGTCATTGCCCTAGTGGAGGCTTTTTACTTCCTGGTGGGGCACTCTGCGGATAAGTTAATAAACGTGCAGAAATTCGCATTTTTAGAAAACGATGAGCGCCGGAGAGAACAGAGCGGGATGAAGCTGTGGAGTATGCCTGGGAAGGATGTGAGGTTGCGACAGTATTCTGGGCTCATCAAGGTTGTCCCTCACTGGAGAGAATCAAAGGTTGAGAAGGATATACCCTGATGCATACACTGGGTCCTAATTGTCCCCAAATAATGGGTGCCAAAAGAACCCTTGAGATGGTTCTATTTAGAAAGTCTCCCCCAGTTCATTTCTAGGGTGATGCAAAGGCTGCTGGTTTTGGGCGGACCCTTCAACATGTCCAGGCTGTGAGCGATACCCTTGGCTTCCCGCTCAGTATAGAGGTAGACCTGTCCTGAAATCTGGTTAGAGATGGACTTCTGGGATGTGGAGAATTGCCTGGCTTATAGGTTGGGGAAACAAAGAAGGTTGAAAGATGGGAGTCAGAGCGGTCTGTTGACAAGGCAGGTCGGGGGACCTGTGAAAAAGCACACGGAGCGTGTAGAACTCCGTGTCTCGTGTTCATGCCCTCCAGGGGCACCCCCTGCAGAGAAGGCCCTCAGCAACGGGGTAGAGACAATCGATGCTCTGTCTGGTGGATGTGAGGTCATTTCCTTCCTCAGACAAGCACTTGCATCTTGAGCCCTGATGTGGGGTCTGACAAACCAGCACCTCATGCCGAGAAGTTCCTTTTGGGCTGCAGAGGGCCTATCAGTACGTGTGTGGCTGTGAATCCACCATAATCACGGATGGCACTCCGCAGCACAAGTTACCATGGTGCGGTGGCCTGTGAAAGGCTTGGCTCTGGGATGACATCCCGTGGGGGTAGGGTGCTCTGTGCGTGAGCTGGCAAGGCTCACGGTCAGGTGCTGTGTTCCTAAACAGCTGGACACACAACTCTAGCTCTCATGGGTTACAGTAGGATTGGCTCTCCTCCCTCTCTTCACTCTCATTTCTAAGGACTCACTTGAAGAATCTGTGCTTCCTGTCCCCCAACCTCAGGATCTGCTGGATGAGGGGCCTTTATTTTCAGAAGGGTGACACTTCCACCAGGAACCAGGAAGAGCTCCCTGCTTGGTTCTTTGGGCTCTCTGTGATGATGAACCAGTGGCAGAGAAATCGGCTACTTGACTGGCAAGGATAGTGAACCATGACGACTATCGGGGACTAGGGTTACTGCAACATAATGGGGTCGGGTACACCTGAGTCTGGGGCCCAGAAGATGTTCTGTGCCCTACAGTCATGGGGACAAGGAAACTGCGTGTCTGAGACCCAGTAAAAGCAAAGTG